GGGGGGCAGCCGCCGGGCAGCCCCCCGCACCCCGATGGAAAGGGACCCGTCCGGTTGCAGGTGCCTTCTGTATTCCCTTGTACGTGCCCTACGTGCTGACGGGGAGATGGATCTTCGGGAGAAGCCTCTGCAAACTCTGGCTGGTAGTTGATTACCTGCTCTGCACCTCTTCGGTCTTCAACATCGTGCTGATCAGCTATGACAGGTTCCTCTCGGTGACAAGAGCGGTGAGTCCTGTCATGGCAGCTGAGAGGGGAATAACTCTCCTCCTGCTTTATTGTCCAGATTCTCTGCAGTAATTCAAAGCTCTTTGAATCCTCCAGAAATGATGAATCTTTCAGCCTAGTGATGGAAACAAATAATTATCCACAAATACATAATTCAGCCGTGGTTTCAGATTAATATTTCTGGCACAATTGAATCATTTCAGGTTCAGACCCCATTGTGCAGGTGTTCTCTTCCCAGATGACAGGACAGTAGTGTACAAGTGAGCCAGCGAGGTAAGCAGACCTGTTACTAACTGGCAGGGGCTTATTATCTCCAGGACAAACAAGTGGATTGCAGTTGGACTCCCAGCTTCGCCCTGGCTACCAAGGCAGTAGCTTGGAGAACCGACTTCAGCAGGGCACTTCCCTGAGGTCTCTGGGTACATGGTGAGACAAAAATGCTCAGCCTTTCGCAGGAGGTAAAGAGCAATTCGCAGGCAGATCGGATCGATTGCTGTTTGCTTGTTCCCTGACTCCAAACACAACATGGATTAGCTACAACGCCCAGAGAGCGCTAGAGCTAGATGCCTGCCGAGCCCAGGAGTTTGATGCATGCCTCTCCCCGGGAGGTACAGAGAGTAGCTGGGGCCAACTCCGGCTGGGGGCAGGAGGGGGGGGAGCAGGCTGCTGGGCTCTAACCAGGTCACGACATTTCCACTAAATGAATGCTACGTCCAGTTTTGGAGCTGCAAGATGAGGGTTCTGTCTTCCCTGCAGGACTGTGATTTATCTAGCACTTGCTCCTGTTGCCTATGGCATATGAATTTGTCAGACTGCTGGGCTATTGCCTAGCAACTTTGCCGGGAACGCTAACAGTTGTGAAGAACCTCAACCAGTTGGGGTGTGTGACCACACTTGAGGTTTGCTCATTGCAGGTTGCCTACAGAGCCCAGCAAGGCAACACCAAGCAAGCGGTGCTGAAGATGGTGATGGTGTGGGTACTGGCCTTCCTGCTTTATGGACCGGCCATTATCAGCTGGGAGTACGTATCAGGCCGGAGCATCATACCCACTGGGCAATGCTACGCTGAATTTTTCTACAACTGGTATTTTCTCATGACCGCCTCTACGCTGGAGTTTTTCACCCCTTTCATCAGTGTAATGTTTTTCAACCTGAGCATTTACCTGAACATACAGAAGCGTACCAAAATGCGCCTGGATATTTTCCACGAAGTGCACAACCAGTCCTTCACTGAAGAGATGGAAATGAGCCCAGAAGCAAAGCTTTCTTTGAAATGCTGTAAGTGGGAGCAGAAGGAGCCAGCTGAAACCCTCGATCTCTCTAAGAGCAAAGCTCAAGCAGCAGCTTCCACTGCCAGCCTGGGTGCCAAGGACCTGCTGCCAGCAAGCTGCGAGAGCTCCGAGAAACCCAAATGTTGCAACAAAAAAACCTGTAAAAATTCAGCATCCACTCTGTCCTTGGAGAAACGGGTGAAGGTAGTGTCCCAGAGCATGACTCAACACTTTAGGCTCTCTAGAGACAAGAAAGTGGCTAAATCACTGGCAATCATCGTGGGCATTTTTGGGATTTGCTGGGCACCATACACTCTCCTGATGATCATCCGTGCCGGCTGCCACGGCCACTGCATCTCTGACTACTGGTACGAGGCTTCCTTTTGGCTGCTGTGGATCAACTCGGCCGTCAACCCTGTCCTGTACCCTCTCTGCCACTACAGCTTCAGAAGAGCTTTTATCAAACTCCTCTGTCCCAAGAAGCTAAAGGTTCAACCCCATGATCCCCTTCAGAACTGCTGGAAGTGAAGGGTGGGGACGAGAGCAGCCTTTTTTTAATACACTCGTGTCATGGGAAAGTACTGTAGCTTGCTTCCTTGGGAGAACGTGGGAGCACTGGTCTGGGGCATGTGAGGAAGGCAGCAGTGAGACCACTATTCATTTATTCTAGTCCATCAACAACGAAATCATGCAGAATAGAAGGGTAAGGGGTTTTTGGCATTAACCACAGGCAGTGAAATCTGTGTCCGCCACTTGCAGGTGCCACAAAAGAGCTCTGCTGCCACCTAGTCAGCCAGAGCAGCACCAGCACTGGGCTAAAATAAAAAACTAACTATTAAAAATAAATATCCAGGCTAAAAGTACTGGACTAAACTACAGTTTAACTGTTTGCAGACCTGATTTTTCCTGTAAATGGGAGCGGTTTTCCCTTACACTTGAGATATGACCCATATGTGATGATACAGACAGAAAAGAACGAACCTCAGAAGGAAAACACCTCGTTTATCATCATTGCTACAGTGATAATCTAGGTCCCTGGTGCATGTGGTGCAATAGATGCCCCTTCCACTCCCCAAGAAGGGACAAATCTCTCCCCGAAGGAGTTTACAGCCAGACTCGGAGGCTCTGAGCATCCTGAAGGACCCTGTTGGCCTTCCCTGATCCCGGCTTCAAAACTGATCCGATTTCCTCCGCGTCCAGCCACACACCGACCAGCGCTCCCCTCTGCCCCGCGCTGTGCAGCAGGAGCAAGCCCAGTCCCTGGCCCTGGGGGAGCCCTGGCAGACCCGAAGAAAAGGGCCGCTCTGCCTCCGCGAGAGGGGCCAGCAGGGTATCAGCTTCTCCACAGTCTTCCTCATGATGACCCAAAGACATTTGAAAAGCTCTTCTGCAGGATCTTAAAAATACTCTTTTGGCAACGTGTTAGAGAATGACGAGCGCTGAGGGAAGTTAATCTCGTGTTCCTTTTTTTAAGTTAGTTTCAGACCTCTTAATTTTAGCAAGTTCCAGAACTCTCGCATGCTTCCTTTCAAAATACGTCATTTGAATGGAGACCTGGAGCTGATCCAGGCAACATAAACATCAGGTTTTGGGGGTTTTTTTGTTTGTGGTTTTTTTGTTTGTTTGTTTTCGTTTTGGTTTGGTTTTGGTTTGGTTTTTGTTTTTAACTAATCCCACAGATAGAGCACCAGATTCAGGAGACCAGGGCTCTAACCTCAGTCTTAACATAAAATCTTGGGCATTTTATCTCTGCTTCCCATCTCGTGCTTTATCACACTTGCCTGTTTATTCTGTACCTCTTTGGGAACAGAGGCAGTATGACCATAAAGCAAAAGACTACAACTGCCCGTCTCTGTTGGCACTGTGATGTAGTTACACAAATGCATAATTAGTTGCCATGGCAAACGCTCATATCTAACAGTATTGTACGGGGAAGCTCAAGATCATAAGCCTGAAACTACATTTACAAATAGAAACCCAAATACTGTAAATTAGTATGATGTTATGATGTTGTGACTGGCAGTTTCACTTCGCTGTTGTAAGCAAACTGCTTTTTGGCTGCTGCTAGGACTAACAGAAAATGCTGTCCAAATCTATTCCAGTGGTATTTGTCGAGTCGATCAGTATTGTCATCTGAAGTCACGTTTTAAATGACGTCTTGTTTTGTGTATATGATATTTCAGTGTTGTGCCATGCTCAGTCAGACCATTATATATGGGTTAATATATATCCTTTGAAGTAAGTGTGCTAAGAATTGACAGTATGTACTGTTGAGCCTGCTTGTACCTTTCCTTGTGTCTGCTACCTTCTGAAAACCCCAATAAAGTATTTTTATATGAAGCTTGCCAAATATTTTACGGTAAATAAGGTGTTGCTGGAAATTATAAAATCCAACCGAAAGCAAAACATCCATGGATTTGCTTGAGGAGACAGTTAAAGTCTATACATTTCACAGAAAAAATAGCTCCTGAAACAGCCGAGTTTCTCTTACCTCTGATTAGAAGATCCCTGACCTGACAGCACACCAAGGGTGTGTGGAGCACACGTCACTCAATTCTTTCCAACTTTGGTTCGTTTCCAGAGCATGCTACACACAACTTCCATCTGAAAAGGTGATGTTAACACTAACTCTTCCTGTGACTTACGAAATCCACTGGCCTGCCTAAAAATGACAAAGCCATAATGTGAACAAGGTACCAGTTTCCAGCTGCGGTTCTCTTCATTCGTTTGTAAAGAGAGGTGGGACTGCTGGATCGTTCGGGCTGATAAAGAGGGAAGCTACCGGCTGTGTTACACCCTAAGAAAAGGGTGGGGAAGTTGTTGTGTCTTTTTATTTTTAACCTGGGATTAAATAGTGGTTACCTACTTCATGTTCTCATCCACCAGCAAAAGGGTTTGTTTTACTCTTTGAAGACTATCCTGCATGACCTTCACTGGGTGACTGGAAGGTCTTTGAAATGCAGCAGAGGCCAAGTAACTGCTAAAATGACACTAACTTGGTTGCAAAAGGGAAATCGGCCCCGTTTCATGTGATCATTCGGAGCCAGCTTTCTCCGGGGAGATTTTATCAGCTTCTGAAGTCATGCCCACACTTGCTCCTGTACCACTTCTGCCCCTCCGTGACACAAAAGTCTGTTTCTTGTACCTGTAGAGCACACATCCCTCGGGTATCCTGATCTCTGCTCAGTCCTCAGCAGGCTTGTCCACAAATGTTGACTGCACGGCATCTACTGCCCCCAAAATGAGCGTGATGCTACAGGTAACCACTGAAAAGTCAAACCAAACCTGACTACGATTACAGCATAACGCAACGTGCTGCGTTCCTTCCACTCTCCCTTTTTTTGGGGGGTGTGTTTTCACAGAAATATCCCAAAACATAACTGAAAGCCCAGGAATCCTATTAGCACAGACATCACTTCTAAGAGAGGAAACTTAACAGAATAGATAGTTCAGCTAAGCAAACTCGCACAGCTTTCTGCGGTTAACAGCTGACTCTCTGACAAACTAGACCTGAGAATACCTTCCATACCACAGCTTTGTTACTTCTGCCTAAACAAATGAACAAAGAATTTATCAGTCTCTCCTGTACGAGACATTCGCCTGAGCAGGGACTGGTAACTGGGCTGTCTAGTAGAATAAAACACGGAGGTGACAGTGGGGGGTGGGTTGGTTTGTCTTATTTCCTCCGCGTACCAATACATGTCAAAAATGTCAAAACACTATTATGCAAGAAGACCAGAGCTAAGCAACAGGGTTTATTTTAGCAGGGTTTTTTCCCCCCCCTGTTTCTATAAAGTTCCTTTTCTTAGAGCTTGAATTGATTGAATCAAATTTTAAAACAAAACAACAAAACCCAAACCAAACCACATCAACACTCCCAGCTCCAGAACTGCTTTTCCTGCACATGATGAGCTGAACGATCAGCCATTTAAAAAGGGAGTTGCAACTGTTTAAATCCTGACCTTTTTTTCCGGATAGTCTGAGCCCCCGATCTCAAATTCTTTGTTTATGTTTAAGTATTTCTGTACTGAAGGCAAACAGCAGGTTTGCCCCTACATCCATCGGTAGTAACTGTGTTCAAAAGTGATAAGACCAGCTTTAAATTTCAAGGTGACTGTGCAAGCTCGTGGGCTAGGAATTCCTTCCTTTCATGTGTTCACACAGCCAAAGAGCTAAAGCTGTACGCAAAACAGACAGTTTTAAGAGGCTCAAAATTCGTAATACCCACAAGGAGCTGGCGGAGACTGGTTTTGCTTTCAGTGATCCCTAAGACCACGATGTGCCTGCACTGAAGTGCACATGCCATCTGTACAAGCACCACATCTTAAAAGAGTCCCACTAGTGACACCAGTAGATTTCTATACAATTTAAAGTCCTAATGGTATTTTTCTCTGAGCTTTCAGAACGTGCTTTTGGTCTTAAAGTCCTTTCCCAACGAGTGAAGAAATGGACGCATTTCACCATGAGCCTTTTGCACAGTATTTTTATGGTCTCTGACCTCCATATGGGCAGAATTATCTAAACTTGGCTGAAAGTAATTTTATTCATTGGTGGATTTTGCAGGGAAGATACTTGCATTCCTTCCTGAAACAAGGCTCTTGCCTTGCCAGATAAAAAAGAAAAATAGCTGGACTTGAGGTCACACCTGAGCCTGGTTTTCATACTGAAAATGTTACGAGCCGGTTTGAAGTTTCACAGTAGCTGATGACTAATTCAAATATGCTTGAAAGAGTATTTGAATTCTGCTGCTTTTTAGCATTCAGAACAGAAACATGCATTTGGAAGAGGCGGGGACTAGTGAGCTTCTAGGCACAATCAAATACAAACTGTGAAAACGCATTACTGTTAGACAAGGCAGGGCTTCTTGTCAACGAGGCTAGCAAAACACCTATGTATGCTTTTTGCTACCACACCTGATAACGAAAAAAAAAAAATCCCTGCCCATTCCTGTTGTCTAGGCACAAACCGAGCAGGCAGGACCCGTTTTCAAAAACCGTGAAAGAAAACCTGCTGTAAGGATGAATATGCATCAACTATTTGTGGAAGCACATAGGCTTCCACACAGAAAAGACACCCAGCTGAGAAGTCTCCAATTTACACCCAGAGTGTTAGTAAACAACGTGCATTGAGCTGTAAATCCGGAGCTTTTTAAAGAAGTGGGGAAGTGACTTCCCATGAGACCTGTGTGGGGGTAACACCAGTGCCCTTCCCTTCACACCAACCTACACTCCATTAACTCCAGGACGCAGAGGCCACCACCACAAGGTCTGTTGCCCTTTCGTAGAGCAGCATCTGCATATCAATAACCTATCAAAGACCATTTTTCAGCACAGCTATTTCTTTTTTGGCTCTGTAATGCTTCCTCCCTAATCACCAATAATGAGAGATCTCTTTACACAGAGAGGGGAACTTTGCTCCCACAGCCTCTCCTCAGCGCCCTTCCTCCATTACCGCTCCTTGTTTGTTCTCTCCAACCTGCAGTTACACAAATTGCTCCATTGTTCCAGAGCCATCACTGACGCTTCATT